TTTTATGGTTTATAGTACGTTTGACACAACTCTGAAGCAGTTATTTTGCAGACCAGGAAATACAATCATAGAGAAGTGCCTTGCCCAAATTCACACATCTTCTAAGGAACTGACAGAACCAAATCTGATTCCAAATTGAGTGCTCTTTCCACCATACCACAGTTCCATTCTAATCCTAAGAAATAAAAAATTGTTCCCACAGGGATATATAGCTAATAGAGTTAAAGTCTCTATCAACTTGAATAAGAATAGTCAATTTGCCTTTCAGTGCCATTTACACTTTTTTCCCCTATCACATAAAGCCAGCTGTACAAGAAGTTTATGAAGATCCTGTATTTCAGTAATACTGAAAGTATAAATAGTGGAGAAAAAGCTGGCCTCAAAAGCAGGAAGAATTCACCAATTGATAAATGGTCAAAGGATATGAACAGGCAATTTTCAGATGAAGAAATTAAAGCTATCTATAGTTATATGAAAAAAAATGTTCTAAATCACTATTGATCAGAATGATGCAAATCAAAACAACTCTGAGGTACTATATCACAGTTATCAGGTTGGCTAACATGACAAATCAGGAAAATGATAAATATTGGAGAAGATGTGGGAAAATTGGAACACTAAGCCATCACTGGTGGAGTTGTGAACTGATCCAGCCATTCTGGAGAGCAATTTGGAACTATGCCCAAAGGGCTATAAAATTGTGCATACCCTTTGACCCAGCAATACCACTTCTAGGGCTGTATCCCAAAGAGATCATAAAAATGGAAAAAGGACCCACATGTACAAAAATATTTATAGCAGCTCTTTCTGTGGTGGCAAAGAATTGGAAATTGAGGGGATGCCCATCAACTGGGGAATGGCTGAACAAGTTGTGGTATATGAATGTAATGGAATACTACTGTGTTATAAAAAATGATGGGCAAGCGGACTTCAGAAAATCCTGGAAAGATATGTATGGACTGAAGCTGAGTGAAATGAGCAGAACCAGGAAAATATTGTACACAGTAACAGCCACATTGTGCAATGACTAACTTTGGTAGACTTAGCTCTTCTCAGCAATGCAAAGATCTAAGACATCTCCAAGACATCTCATGATGGAAAATGCTATCCACATCAAGAGAAAGAACTATGGAGTTTGAATGCAGATCATAGCGTACTATTTGCTCTTTTTTTCCTTCTGTTTTGTTTTGTTTCTTCTTTCCCGTAGTTCCTCCTATTGGTTCCAATTCTTCTTTACAACATGACTTTTGTTTAACAGGAATGTACATGTAGAGCCTATATCAGATTGCACGCCTTCTTGGCGGGAAGAGAGAGGAAGAAAATTTAAAACTCAAAAGTTTATGGACGTGAATGTTGAAAACTAAAAATACATTAGTTTTTTTAAAAAGGGTAGGAAGAATTTAAGTCCCTCCTCCAACAAAAAATGGTTTGGTCTAATGACATATATAAAGTGCTGTGATATTAGCAATAATTATTATTTGCAACCTTGGGTAAGTCAATTAATTTCTCAGTGCTCTAAGGGACTCTCTAAGACTATAAATTGTAGAGCAGGCACCAAAAGGCATTAGTAGAGGGAGTTCCCTGTACCAATGAAATCGAAGCTGGTTACATAATTTGGCCATGGGTGAGATATTACTAAAGTATAAGTTTACTAACTACATAACTTCAGAATTGTAATTTCAAGGCGAAGCTGAATTTGAACTCAATTCAGTTAGCAAGAGAAAACAATGAAAACTTGCTTGGGAAGTAAACTATGTAAAACTGCAAGCTAAAAATAAAAAAATTCCTATATGTGTGCTTCTAAATTATGTCTACATAATTTTTATAAATGTGTGTACAACACCTAAAATTTTGATGGTGTTTCATAATCTACAAAATTCTTTCAGAGGCATACCAGTCATCTCATTTGATTCTCACACAAACCCTGGGAAACAGGCAGGATAGATACTATTATTCCAATTTATAGAAGAGAAAACTAAAGTTCAGAGAGGTTAAATGATTTATCCAAAGTTACAGAGCTACTGACCAAGCCTCAGTTCAAATCTAGATTTCCTGATTTCAAATCCAATGTTCCCTGCAACCACCACACAGCTTAACCTAATAAACTTACCTGGAAGTACTGGAAACTGCAACACTAAAATGATTTTTGCTTTTTCTTTTCATTGCACAACTCACACACCTAAGACAATTATTTCTTCTAGAAATATCTATGTTAACTAGTTAATACTACAACTAAATTGAGATTACACTCAATAAGAAAAAAAGATAAAGTCAGGAGGACTGGAGTTGGAGTCAGGGGGACCTGAGTTCAAATCCAGCCTCAGATACTTAATACTTACTAGTTGTGTGACCCTGGACAAGTCTTGCTTGCCTCACCAAAAAAAAAAAAAAAACCTCCAAAAAAAACCAAACAAAACAAAAACGGAGCATTAGGAAGGATGGATGATTTTTATGAATAATCCAAATCAAATAAACAAGGTTTACTTCCATCCAGCCTATAGCCCCAAAAGCTCAGCTACCATGGCAGCTGGGTAGTGATAACTAGGTTCCAACAATGAGCATCCCTCGATGGACTTCTAGAGCTGACTGTACCTGAAGGGACATAAAAACAAGCATGACTTTGCTAACATTTTAGCATCAAAGAGCCATCTAAGCCTCATGGTCATGCCTAGGCAGTTTCTGAAAGCTCCCTGCTATTTATTCATGAATCTGGAATCACAGACATATAGCAGCCTTGTCCACTTATTAGGACGTCAGGGTCTATCAACATCTGATGATTCCTGCAAATAAAAATGCTACAACTTCTGCATAAGTGAAAATTACCTATACAAGAGGACATACAGTAGAAAACATAGGTGAATAAAAACAAAATAGCAAGTATCTTGTGGCTATATTCAACATAAGTAAATAGATTCTGAATACAATATCAGGAGAGATACAAAGTAGATCAAACTATAATTCTCATCAGAAGGAATGGGGCTCAAGCCCCATACAAAGCTTTTCCTGACTCTTTCCCAGCTGCGTGGCTCTACTTCCCCCTTCAATTCCCCCTACTATAATTTTACCTTTTATTTATTTTGCATATTATTATTTATGTATATGTTGCAAGTTCCTTGAAGCAGAGACTTTCATTTTTAATTTATATCCCTAGTCCTTCCTAATGTATCCTTGAGTTGGCTAATCAACTTCCAATTTAATCCTATGAACTCCAGCTACTCTACTAGACAAATCCTCTATTCCAGTCCAACTAGCCTATTTGCTGTCTCTTGAACATAGAATGTACCTTTCTGCCTACATGTCCTTGCTCAGGCCCAGCCCTCTCCCTAAACATCTATACAATTGATGTGGCACCTATTTAGATTTTAACAACACTTGTGTTGTCTCCCCACCTATAAGCTCCTTAAGGGCAAAAATCATGTTTAAATGTATTAATACACTAACTCCATCTTCTCCAGACTTTCTAACACTGGGTGACCTCATCAATTCTCTCCCCAGGCATTTAATTATTATCTCTAAGCAAATGACACCCAAATCTAGTCTCTTCTGAGCTCCAGGCCCATATCTCTAGCTGCCTACTCGATTTCAAATTGAATGTCCTGTAGATTTCAAACTCAGTACATGTAACCTAAACTGAAGTAATTATCTTTCCCCTAAAACTCATTCTGCTTCCAAACCTGCTCCCTTAAGGGGAGCATCCTTCCAGCTGCTAAATCTTGTTGTTTCTACCTCCACATCACTATAGCATCCATCCCTTACTCTATCCATATGGCCACTGCTCTAGTTCAGACCCTCATCTCCTCTGAACTGGCCTTTGAATTGGTGTCCCTAAGTCATATCTCTCTACTCCAATATACCTATCAGCCAAAGGGATTTTCCTTAAGGGCTGACTAATGTCTGACTAAAGTCTGACTAATGTCACTGCCTTACTTAATTCCCAATGGCTCCCTATTGCCTCTAAGATCTAATATAAGCTCTTCTGTTTGGCTTTTTAAAGCCCTTCACAACCTGGCATGAACCTACATTTCCAACCTGATTATATATTACTCCCCTTCTCACACCAAACTGGCCTTCTTGCTGCTTCTCACACATACCACTTTATCCCTCTATTCTAAACCCTAGGAAAGTACAACCACTTTACCTCCACTTTTCAGAATCCTATTTCTTTCAACACTCGGCTCAAGTACCACTTTGTCTATATAAAGCCTTTCCTGACCCTCCTCCAGCTGCTGGTACCCTTCCCCTAACATAAATTTACCTTATATTTATTTTTTATATATTTATGTATATCTCCCTCAATGGATGCAAGCTTCTTGAAGGCAGAGAATATTTCATTTTTTCACTGTCTCCCCAACACCTGGAGGTGCTTAATAAATGCTTGATTAATTGATTAGTATCCCCAGCAAAAAGCATGAGATGATGAGTGTTCTCATTTTTAAAATTTTAAGTTATCAATATAAGAATAAACAGAAATAGACTACTAAATGAAATGAGTTTGTACAGGTTATCCGAGCAAAGCTCTTGATTTACTAAGGCTTTCATTCCAAAATCTACTAATGAGCAAAACTTGCAGTGAAATGTTCTACTAGTTGGAAGAATAGTTACAAAATAAAAAGTTTCTTCTTTTAATTAGAGAAAGCTCAGATTTTATTCTAGTAAAGTCAGGCAAAAAGTATTCTAACTCTATTGTTTGAAAATGTTTCTTAAAGTCTCCTTGCTTTCTTTATAAATGGTCTCACTTGTTCCATGCTCTCCTTTCCCCACTTTTTTTAGAGTAAAGCAAAGATGACAGGACACTTTAGGATCACATGAGCAATTCAATAGCAATGGGAAGTTGTCTGAACAAGAAGTGTGTCTGTCAGCTGTCTGTATCTGAATCTGTGCCAAGCATGGAAATTACGTATACAATTGAGGATTTCAACTATTCTACTAGAGAAAGTACCTTTTTAAAAGAACATTAACTGGACATAAGTAATCCCAGTTTCATTTTAAAAAAGAGCTTAAGGCACTTACCTAATTTCTACTCCTGCTTTATATAATATTCTTCCAGGAATTGTTAAATTTCTCTGTCCTCAAGAGTCAAACTATCTTTACTGCCTTGGGTTCATTCAATTATTTCTATAAAATGGCCAATCACCAAGAATTTTTAACTTCATCTTGCTTGTTGTTTGTGCTAAAGAAAAGGAATTATTCTAATACATCATAAAATGTATTATCTAAGTTATGATATAACAATAATGTTTCGGTTTCATGGTGTGTTGTGGCAGCACCATCTCAAATAATTCAGAGTCAGACCAACTCTAATCCAAGTATAGACATTTATTGAGGATTGATACCCCTCAGAAGTGGGATAGGTTCCAAGAGGAATCAGCAACTTTAGGGAAAGCAAAATGGATTTTAGTAAGAATTATGAATATTAAAAAGGCAGGAGGGGTTTGTTAAGGGATTATGTAATAGGAGAGGGGTCCCAGCCTCAGTGGAACTGCATATGCTATTATCCGTAATGCATACAGAAAAACCCATTTGGTTTCTATTATTTGGGGGGTTTTTTTGGCTAGGCAATGGGGTTAAGTGACTTGCCCAGGGTCACACAGCCTAGTCAAGTGTCAGGTGTCTGAGGCCGTATTTGAACTCAGGTCCTCCTAACTCCAGGGTTGGTGCTCTATCCACTGCTGTACCTAAACTATTATAAAACATTTCCCACTTCTTTAAACTTTTCCAAGGGAATTTCCATATATATACACATATGTGTATATTTGTCACATAATTCCTCTCAAAATTTTTCAATAGTTTCTACCTAGTAATAAAGTTCAAATTCCTCAGACCAGGTATCTAAGACATTATATTTTCATCCCCATTCAATCAACAAAGTGCCCACTATGTCTAAAGCATTGTGCTAGTCCTGGGGGAAAGACTGAATGCTTAGGTATGACAAGGTGCTAGACCTCAAAGAGCAGGTGAGGAGATAAGACAAACAATAGCCCATAATATATCAGAAACTCATTAGAGTTACAAAATCAAATGCTTTGTAAACTATGGTCCAGAAGGTCATGCTGCCCCCTGGGCCCCAATACCAGTATCCTTCTTCCTCCACCCAGGTTCCACATTCTTCTGTCCTGCAATTACTCATAATTTTGCCTTCATGCTCTTTCCCACTCAAATAACAACAGCAGCAGTTAACATTTATAGAATGCTTATAGTCAGGCACTATGCTAGGCACTTTACAATCATTATCATTTTTGTTCCTCATGACAACCCTGGGAGGCAGGTGCTATTATTATCCCCATTTTACAGATGAAAAAACTGAGGTAAACAAAGTAACTTACCCAGACTCAAACAGCTAGTAAGTTATCTAGAGACTAGATCTGACCTCTGGTCCTCCAGACTCCAGGCCCGGCCTTCTATCTACTACTGTGTCACTCAGCTGCCCCCTTTCTTCATCATCATCACCATTTTAGATCACTTTAAGGTTTCAAAGTGCTTTACATATGTTACCTCATTTACTCTTCATAACAATCCTGTAAGGTTATTATTATTCCCATTTACAAATAAGGAAACTAAAGCTGAGAGAGGGTCACAAGGCTAGTAAGTGTCTGATGTCATAATCTGAACTCAGGTCTTCCTCTGACTCCAAGTCCAAAACTCTATCCACTGTACAACCTGAAACCTTCCTTAATCCATGCAGTTAGTAATAATTCTTCACCCTTCAGATTTCACACAATGCTTGGCTTACATCTCTACTATGAATGAACAAAAAAAACATTTATTAAGTGCTTACTCTGTTATAGTGCTACTCTCTGGGGATAGAAAAGCAAAAAGAGCAATACAAAAGCAGAATGGGCTGCCATGGGAAGCAGTGAGTTCTTCTCTTTAGGTCTTCATACAGAAGCTACATAAGCCCCCATTCGAGATGCTGTACATGGTCTTTCTGGTCAGGAACTAGATGTAGTCTGCGATTCTTTTCCACCTGAGATTCTGTGATCCTTTTGACTCCAAATGCAGCACTTTTTAAAACAACAAAACTCCACCAAACTTTATAGAACAGTATGTTATGTAATAAATGTATTATTACATGACAGATCTAGAGCATTAAAGAAACAAAGCTCTGCTCAAAGAGGTCCCACTCCAATAGACAAAAGCATGTGTTGGCTGCAGAGCAAAAGGTAAAGGCCAATGGTCTCAAGCTGCAACAGCAGAACATATAGTACCACGTTTCTTTAGTGTCATTTCCACTAAATTCCTCATTTCTCACTGGGCTGCACTACTATGGGATATCTCCACTGTATCCCAGGAAGTTCATAATGGGATAACCTCATCATCCTGCAACATCTCATCAGCCTTGGTGCTCTACCTCATCACTACCCTTGGCCTCTCTCATTTGAAGGAGAGGCCATGAACTCCAACCCTCTCCATGTATGGAAGGAACTCAGCTCAGACATCTCATCTCACCTGGCTGCACTACTCGTGGGCTTCTCTGACCAACTTCTCCATCACACCCCTGCACTGGATACCTTCTTCCCCTTCCCTTTTCAGCTTCCATCTCTGTTCTGTCTTCCCCCATTTGAGTTGAAGGATTGTAAGCTCCTTGATGGCAGAACTGTCCTTTTTTGGTATCCTCAGTATTTAGCACAGCACCTGGCACATGGCAGGTACTTAATAAATGTTTACTGACTACTGACAACAAATTTTGACTGATTATTAATAATAACTATATCCATTTCTGATTTTTAACAATTTGCCAGTGCCAAGGACTTTGGTGATGAGAATCCCCCCCCCCCCGGGTTTTTAGTATTATGGCTGCAGAGAAGGCAGGAGATAGCAAGATCCAAAAGAATTACAAATGTAGAGTTAGAAGGAACATCAGAGGTCATCCAGTTCGGTCCTCCTACTTTACAGATAAGGAAACAGGCCCAGAGGAAGAAGGTACTTGCCCAAGGTGATACAGGTACTAGTAGTAATCAGAGGTGGGACTTAACCCAGGTCTGTGACTCCACAGCCAAAACTCTTTCCACTATATTATGCTGCCTTTATTTTGAGGTTACATCTCCACATGGGCTGCTTCTCTGAACAATGGTTTCAGAACCAGACTGGAAACAAGAGTAGCGATGGGGAGATGAGGGGAAGAGGGCAAGGAGAAAGTGGAGAAAGAATGGAGAGATGCTGTACCCAAAGCTCTCCGGAATGAGGTGCTGCAGTTGCTATTGGTAGCTGGAAGGACATCAGGGATGGAGCACTCTCTTCTCCACAAGGAAAGTAGCAGAGGAAGCAGCAGAGGCTGGGCTAGAACTATGGCTGGTAGCCAGGTGAGACACAGTAATTCCTAGGGCTCCTGAGCACAGGTCTTGACTGTCATCTTCAAGGTCTGCCTGCTAAGGAAGCATCGGTTGGTTGACAGCCAATGGTGGTAGTGGCAGGAATGGCAGACCCTCTTCTTCACAGGGGTTACTCTCCAGAATCATGGCACTTGGGGGTGGGATAGAGACAGGGCCAGGTGCCGAGTGAGCATGATGCTGTTCTCAGGACACCTGTCGTGTATCCTTTTATATTGTAGTTATCTATGTCTGTATTTTATCCCTCTAATAGATTGTGAATTGCATGACAAGAATTCCTGTCTAGTAGTTTTTTCCTCCTCAGTACCTAGCACATTGCTCTTCATGTAGATGTCCAATAAATGTTTACTGAATTCAAATTTACTTCTGATTTATGTTACTCTAACTGTTCCATTCACACTGCAACACACTAATTAAGTTGTTCATTTCTAACTCACATGGACTATTTCAATTGCCTTCTAAGTGGTTTCCCTATCTTGTCTATCCCTATCCCTTCTCCAATTCATTTTCCACCATACTACCCTAGTCAGCTTCCCAATAAACCCAGAATCATATCAAGTCTATTCAAAACCCTGTCTCTGAAATTCAAGACCCTCCAATTTGGCAACATCCTACTGTACCTTTTCAGCTTCATCTCACGCTATTCCCTTTCACATTCTCCACATTCCAGGTCAGCTAATCTGAACTATTCAATGTCTCCAATCCTTTGCTTATGCTTACTTCATGTTCAGTATGAACTTACCACTACGCATAATGAAAATGCTCCCTTCCTTGCCACCTCCTCCAAGATCCTTTCCCTGGTTCTATGAGAGTCATCTATATATGCATGTATCTACTCTCCCATTTATACAATGCAGGGACTGCTTTATTCCACTAATCTCCCTCTCCTCTATCAGTTATTAGTGTGCAGGGCTTTTCCTTTTCTGTTAAGCTTTATATCAAATCAATCCTTTTACCCTGATGCCCCAAATGAATATATCCCCCTTCTGCCCTTAACATGTATTCTCTTCTGGAAGCGTAGCATAGTGGAAAAATCACTGACCTCAGAGAAAGGAAGACCTGGGTTCTACTCCTTCATTTGATATATAATGACTCTATGCAAGCTGAGTAACCTCTCAGTATTCTAGGAAACTATGAGTATAAAGGGCAGATAACATGCCAACCTGCACAGATTGAGGGAATCTCCTTATATGGAGTTCCCTTTATCAAGACATCACAGATCTAGTCCCTATCCCTATCCCTCTCATCTTTATAATTTACACTCAATCCAGCAATCACCAGTTCTGGTTTAAACTTTCTAAAAATTATCTTTCATTGTCACGCTTCCCACCCCTAAATAAGATTTCTATGGCTCCCTACTACCTAAAGATTAGATTTCAAGTGGCTCAATTGTTCAACCATTCAAGGATTTCTGTTACATAGGCCCAACTTTATGTAATAGTGTGATAACAATAATAAATAGCAAGCATTTATATGTTGCTTTAAGGTTTGCAATGCACTTTACAAATGTTATCTCATTTTATCTTCAAAACAACCCTGGGATATAGGTGCTATGATTATCTCCATTTTACAGATCAGGAAACTGAGGCAGATAGGTTAAGTGACTTGCCCAGGTTCACAGCTAGCTGGTTTCTAAACCCAGATTTGAATTCAGGTCTTCCTGTCTTCAGTTCCTGTGCCACCTAGGTGCCTAATACCACTATCCCTCTAAAAGAACCCTTTGTTCAAACTGATCTATTCACAGTTTCCTGGGCTGTTCAGAAATTAGGCTCTGACCAGTCATTAACTCTCTCTCAGCCAATCCAAATCCTGTCCAACCTCAAGTACTTCCTTCAGGAAACCAAACCAGGGTTTTCTCCCTCAGCTCAAATCCTAGCACTATCCAGTATAGTCAGTCAACTTTTCCTGTCTTGTATCCAAAGGACTGTAATATCCAGGAGAACAGGAACTGTGATTTACACTTCCTTGTATTCTTTGTATTAGAACACTAATTCGTACCCAAGTGCGATTTTCCTCTGACAGAGCCTAGTGAGGTTTAGGAGGCTGTCCCTTCCGTGTAAGACTAGCAAGTTTTTGCTTTCACTCTCATTCATTGCTGACAGTGCACAGCATTTCACAATTGGAAGACACCCAGGCATGGTGTTTCCTTCTTCGTAGAAACAAGACTGAATCTCCAGTTGGGAGACTAGGATTACGATGGTGGTTCTACCCTTTATGAGCAGTGTGACCACGGGTGGACAGTCACTTCGAACACTGCCTGCCTCAGTGTCCTCACCTGCAAAATAGGGGCTTAATCATACACTATCCACTATGCACAATCTTTGGTTAGAAGTCACTCTGTAAACCTTGAAGAGCTACGGAAATATGAGGGGTTCATCTACAAGTAAAGTTGAGGTAGACTCCAGTCCAGGCTGAGCCGCCTAGAAAGGCCCAAGGGTAAAACTGACAGTCCCTCTGCCATGCCCACTCCCAAGCTTGAAGCTGGGTGGCCGCTCCTCCCCAGCCGGATGCGGGAGAAGGTGCCTGAGCCCCAAGCCAGAGGTTGCTTCCCCCTGCCCGAGCCCCGCACTCACCCCACCCCCACCAGCCGCGCCTCACCTTGGTGGTCGTAGACACTGATGTAGGAGATGCCCACGGCCATGCACCACACCACGAGGCTTGCAATGTCCGAGAAGCTGGGCTCCTCCTCCTCTGTGACCACCAAGCCCATGTGCACCGGCAACTTCTCCAGCGATTTGCCGTCCGAGCGCCAGCGGAGCCGGGGGTGGGTGGCCGCAGAGGCCGCGCCGGGCGCCCCGCGGCCGTGGGCATGGTGGTGGTAGTAGTGGTGGTGATGGTGATGGTGGTGGTGATTCCTGCCCGCCGCCGGGGTCTTGCGGAGGGTAAAGCCGAGCGGCGCTAGGACCGCGGAGGAGGCGACGCGGCACCACCGCCGCCAGATCCAGTTCCAGGTGCCGAAGCGGACGCGGAGCCAGGAAGCGAGCGTGCGGTGGAGGCAGAGCAGCGCGTGCAGCACGCGCCACACCAACTCATACAACCCGGTCATGCTCGCGAAACTCGGGGCCCGTCAGCCGCCGCTGCCCCGGGCCCTCCTCCCCTCCCGCTCTCGCCGCAGCCGCTGCGGCCGCCACACCTGCGGCGCGAGCGCCACTTATCCTCACCGGCCGCGGGCGCGAGCCATCTCCGGATGCCCCCCCTCCCCCCCCTCGCCCGAGCCCCTAGCTACTGCCAACACCTCACCTCGCCCCCGACGCCATCTTCCCCCTCCACCTCCTCCTGCTTATCGCCCCGCCTCTACCAATACATGGAAGGCGCTGATTGGTCCAGGTCGAGCTCTGACGCGACTTCTGGGTCGGAGGGCGGAGGATGTGGCAAGAGCTCGAGGCGGCGAGAGGGCGGGCACGCACTAGCTGACGAGCACTGTCCCAGCTGGGAGAGAGAACAGCGCCCCCTGGACGTGTGGAGGGCGAGGAGCACGCAAATTATTCATCCGCTCTGAGGAGGGAGGAAGAGCCTGGGAAATGTACCCCCCTTCTTTGGCCCCCGTTTTAAATGTACCGGTTAAAACAAGCCCACTTGCATTTTGTTCTGTTATGTAACTCAAGAACTATTTATTCCCTCGAGCCGGCCCCACCCTGACATTCCAAAAATATTTGAAGGTGGACTAGAGGGTTGTAGTTAGATGCCAATCTGAACGTTGGTTGGCAGCCCCTTAGGGTGATAGGATTTTGTATGACCCTGGTTATTTCCCTTTAACCTCTGAGTCTCATGTTCCTAATCTGTAAAGTGGGTGTGATGATGTGTCAGAAGGTCGTTGTGATTCATTAGATGAGATGATGTATGTAGATCATTTTACAAAGTCTAAAGCACTAAATAGATGCAGAGTGGAAGAGGTCTCTCATAGGTCTGTTTCTCTCCACAAATGAATGTGTGCCATACTCAGTTTAAATTATTCCTGTAACAGTTATGGGAGCCAGTACCATACACTGTAAGATACTTGGCTAGGTTAAGGGACACAGGCTATGACTGTGAGATAGTTTTTCTGGGCACAATTCTTAGCACCAAGTGTCCCCTTCATTTAAGGAGCAACTCGTTTTTAAAGCTCTTGCATAATCGAACGTGATCTGAGATTGACAAAGAAGAAAAGGGTTAGGGAGACGAGCAAAGGTCGTTGAAGATCAGAATGATTATTTTTCTAACAGTCAATTCTAATTACATTTTCTAATATGTGATTGTACAAACCTTTGGATCAAAAATAGAAATGAAATCCCTATCTTAGGTTGTGAAAGGGCCACATGCTGCAAGATTGTTGCCTTGTCCACAAGTAAAAGATGATGCAAAAGCTTCTGAGAAGACATACTGTTTCCACCAGTTGGGTAAAGGAATATGGATTATGTCATGAATTACATCTGTGGCAAGTCCTCAAAAAAGATAGGAAGATCAGATCATCTTACTTGTCTACTGAGGAACCTGTATGTGGGTCAAGAAGAAACAGAACCAAACATGGAAAATCTGATTGGTTCAGGATTGGGAAAGGAACATGACAAAGCTGTATATTGTCACCTTATTTATTTAACTTACATGCAGAACACATCATGCAAGATGCCAGACTGGAAAAATCAAAAGCCAAAATTAAGGTTGCTGGGAGGAAGAGCAACAATCGCAGATATGCAGATGATACCACTCTGCTGGCAGAAAGTAAAGAATAATTAAGAAGCTTGTTGATGAGGCTGAAAGAAGTGAGTTTAAACATTTGCTTGAAGCTTAACAAAAATAAATAAATAAATAAAAACCTTAAAGTCCTGGTATCTGGTCCCATGCTTCCTGGCAAATAGAGGGAGAAGAAATCGAAGTAGTGTCAGATTTTACACTCAGGGGCTCAAAATCACTTCAGATGGTGACAGCAGTCATGAAATTAAGATGCTCCTTGGAAGGAAAGCTTTGGCAAATCTTGACAGCATACTAAAAAGTAGAGACATCACCTTGCTGACAAAAGTCTATATAGTCAAAGTTGTGTTTTTTCCAGTGGTCATGTATGGCTGTGAGAGCTGGACTAAGGAAAGCTGAGCGCCTCAGAATCAATGCTTTCAAATTGTGGTGCTGGTAAAGACTTTTGAGAATTCAGTCATATCAGTCAATATTTAAAGAAATTAACTCAGACTATTCATTGGAAGGACAAATACTGAAGCTGAAGCTTAAATACTTTGGCCACATGATGAGAAGACAGGATACATTAGAAAAGACTCATGTTGGGAAAGATTGAAGGCAAAAGGAGAAGGGGATGGCAGAGCATGAGATGGATAGATAGTGTCATGGAAGGAACAAACATGAGCTTGGAAGGACTTCAGCAGATAGTGGAGCTCAGACGAGCCTGGCATGATGGGGTCAGGAAGATTCAGACACAACTGAATGACTGAACAACAACAATGATCACCAGTTGAGTTCTGTAGTAAAGCCACATCTCTATCTGTCCCCAACATTCCTTTTCCTCTACTTCTACTATAACCATTCTAATTTAAGTATATATAACCTCTTGCTTGCCTGGACTATTGTAGTAACTTCCTAATTGGTCTCCCTGCATCCACTTTTACTCTTCTATCCATCTTCCACATAGCTGCCAAATTGATGTTCCCAAAGTGTAGGTCTGACCGTGCAATTCCCCTGCTCAAGAAACTTCCGTGGCTCTCTGCTATTTTTTGGGGGGGGGGGCTAGGTAATAGGGTTAAGTGACTTGCCTAGGGTCACACAGCTAGTAGGTATCTGAGGCCAAATTTGAACTCACAAAGATGAGTCTTCCTGACTCCAGACCCAGCACCCTATCAAGTGTGCTACCTAGCAGCCCAGACAGCTAGTTCAGCACCCAGAAAATTCAAGCAAGACAAGAGGAGAGATAACCTGCTAAAAAGGAATCACTTTAGAGAAGAAGCAGACCCCTTGAGCCATATTCCAAATGGTACTGTTCATCTTTTTTCTCTTGAGTGGTCCTCTGATCCCTCCCTCTAACTTTTCTATTTCTGTTAGTGGCACTATGATTCTTTCTGTTTTCCAGGCTCAAAACCTTGGAGTCTTCTCCCACACTGACCAGAGGAGAGCCTCATGAACTTTGGAGATCCAGCATGCCTCTCATCTTCCCAACAGCATCCTAAAAACTGCTTAGGACATATCTACATTTGGAGTCAAGGGCAGATTCACTTCTCTACATAGAGTCCAACAGAAAATTATAACATATCTATATTAATATCATGTCTGGGACCAGCATTGCTATCACACATAAGCCCTGTCACAAGTGGAGTAAGCTTTACTTTTCCACATATAAATTCTTCTGTTTGGCATTTAAAACCCTTCATAATCTGACTTCATTCTCCCTTTCCAGGCTGATTACACATTACTTACCCTCACTCATTCTGCTTTCCAACCAAACTGGTATACTTACTGTTTTTTAAACCCAGCATATTACATCTCCCTTGTTTGTACCTGTTCCCTCCTCCTGAAATTTACCTTTATTTCTTTCTTCTTTCTTTCTCTCTCTTTCTCTTAATCTCTCTCTCTCTTTCTTTCCCTCTCCTCCCTCTCTCTCTTTCCCTCCCTTCTTCCCTCCCCCTCTCTCTTTCCCTCCCTTCTTCCCTCCCTCTCTCCTCCTTCAACACTTGTCTGAAGTGCCACTCCTTGTAAGAGGAATTTCCTTCAGTTGTTAGTAATTCCCTCTCCAACACCATCAAACACGAGTGTTCTGGAGCTAACTCAAATACATTCAGAAGATCTGATTGTTAAATTTTTTGTGTGAGCATTTATATCTTGGAAATTGGAAAATGGTACAAATCAGTGTTTGATTTATTGTTTTGTTAATTGTCTAAGGCTTAAGAAAGTAATGGAGAAAATCTTAATATAAATTAAACTTAAAAGTGTATAATTTTTCCAGAGAGCTGCTTGTTAAAGATTTACCAGCACACTACTGCCTTTAAATGATTTTTTGTATTCATTGTGTGTGTGTGTGTGTGTGTGTGTGTGTGTGTGTGTGTCTTGTCTTTACTTATCTGTGTTCATATTGTTGCCATCCAGTAGAATGAATGTAAGATTGTTTGGGGTTTTTTTTTCAACCCTGGTATACCTAATGCCGAGTAAATAGCTTAATAATTTTTGTTCAATTTAATTCAGTTAGGGGTGCAGGAAAATGCCATGGCTTATAAGTGTCTAAGCCAGAATTGTTTTAGGGGGGAAAAAACCCCAGGGTTGGCAACTGAGTTCATGGAGCTGAATCACTAGAGGCAGAAAATAGTGTTTAGGGTAGAAGTAGGATCAAAACCAGATTCAACAAGATCTAAGGGGAATATTGAGAATTAAGGTCAGAGATAAGTATGAGTGGACTTATTAAGAGGCCAAAAACAAAGATCATGATAGGATCATAGGAAGTACAGCTAAAGGAGGACTCATCTAATCCAACTATATTATTTTATTCAAGGGTTCAAGCTCAACAGCTTGCTGTAATTCAATGTTCTATGTGCACTTGTGTGGGGTGTGTCTGTCTGTCTGCGTATCTCTGTGTGTTTAACCTCTATGACAAATCCTGCTCTCTGTGACAAAGCTGTGACAAACAGGATATAAAATAAATTGGACTTGATTGGATGTGAGGAAGTTAAGAGAATCAAAGATGACTGGTTTTGAGCCTAGAAGACAGAGAGAATCTTAGTGCAACTAACAGAAATAAGTTAGAGGGAGGGATCAGAGAAAGAGATGAACAGTGCCATTTGGGGTATAGTACTTTTGAGTTTCAAAGGTCAGCAGGACTTTCAGGCAGTGGGTTGAAATGTAGGATTGGAACTGGAAAGAGAGGTTGAGACTGGAAATAGAATCTGGAAAGGAGAATCATCCGAATAAAGGTTGAAACTATGGAACTGACTGGAGGCAGGTAATTTATGCCTGTTCTAACACCTTCAGGGGCAGATAGGTGGCATAGTTTATAGAGCACTAGGTTTGGAATCAGGAAGACTCCTCTTCAAGGGTTCAAACCTGGCCTCAGACACTTACTAGCTATGTGATCCTGGGCAAGTCACTTAACCCTGTTTGCCTCAGTTTCTCATCTCTA